TTATTCATTTATCAATAAAAAATCTGTGAGCTCAATTGTTCATTTGCGCCCTCATGGCAATTTGCGGTTAGCAGCTTGATTTTAACATTTTATTATTGTTTTCATAAACAAACCTGTCGTAAAAATTATGGATTAACAAAATGAAAAACACTTACTTACAACAATATGGGTATAAAATAAGTTGAGACAATGCTTGTGTGATTTCTTCAAGATAAATGTGATGACATATGTTAACAGGTTTTTTTAAGTGATATATCCTCAATTTATTTAGTGATACTAGAATGAATATTAGGATAGGATTTTACTAATCTGACGTTTATTTCGTATTTTCCCATGGGATAATCACGTTCTTTAATGTGGGGTAAAATTTTCTGGGGTAAATCAAAAAAAAAAAAAAAAGAGATAAATCAAGTGGAAACGATTTACAAATTTAACAAATATGCGGGGTAATACTCCACAAAATTTCTGAATCTAAGATTTTTTTTACTTGATCTACAACCGATAAAGAAGTTACTTGAACATGGTATTTGTTTGTATACCTTTTTTTTCCGCAAATGGGTTTATTCACTGATTGAAATATTTCCATTCAAACAATAGTTTAAACGTGGAAACATCTGAGAAGTTCGTTGAGACTACAATAACTAAACAGTTTAGATTTTATGCAAGTGCCTTAATTTTGGATTTTCCCGGAAAAAAAAAAAAAAAAAAAAATTTAAGAAATTCATCAAATGCAAGAAGGGGTGCGTGTATTGGTAATCCGACTTTAACGAATATCATGAAATATGGTTAGCTTTAACCTCTTTTGTTTTCGATAAAGGAGAGTGAGGCATACACGCTCGGTCTTCCCACACAATATTAAATTTGACAAACCCGCAACAATTATTATTGTTGTTTGAAGGAAATGAAAAGAAAAAAAATAGGATGATCCGGCTATTTCGCATGCGCATACATCAAATTACATACGTATATTCGTAAAGAATATATATATTAATGCCTTTGTACTTCAAATCCAGTTGTCTATTGTCAAGTACATGTAATTGAAGCAATATGTTAAAACCCCCTTTAAGATCGCGACGCACAAGATGAGTGGGTCAAAGCACATTCATACCGAAATAAAATGAGTTGCATATAGGCATGTCAATGAGAGACCTATTCAATTATTTTAGATGAATTGCGCACGGGCTTTTTTTTTTTCAAGTCAGGAATTATTCATCACCTGGGCGCATTATTATGTGAACTAATCCTTAACGAGAACATTTTCCGAATTTTCAGGTCTCGTCTAACCCTTTTAAATGTTATTTTTTTAAAAAAAAATCACAAGATCATTCTCTTTTTAAAAATATCAAAGGTTTACTTTAAATAAATTCACCCTCCAAAACATGTTCAAACATGGGCAAAAAAATTGATAATTTTTTTATTTCGCAAAAGAATCCTTTGGAGCGCTCTCATCGTATATTGATGTGACAAAAATAACGCTTTCGATAAACAGTTATAACTTTATCAACAACATTTTACCGATTTTGAAAGGGAGAATATTTTTTTTTTTTTTTTAACTTTGTACATGACAAAAAAAAAAAATTCGCGCGAGAAGCATGTAGATCGTTAATTTTGGTCAAAATGTCAATCATTTTCATATGAATTTCCACAGAACCTTTGTTTTATAAATATTTGTTTGTCATACCGTATTAACATTTTTTTTTTCTTAAAAAAAAAAAATTTTTGTTGCAAGCATTGGAAAAGTAAATATTATTCTCATAAACTTGAATAGGATTAATTGTTTTAAATTAATTTTATGATAATATTAACGTTTTGGACGTTGAATTGTTAATGTCCCGAGTAAATGCATTTTTATTACCCATTTGAGTAAATGTGAATTATGCGGGGTTTTTTGACCTTCTCAATCATAAAATTTAATATGTTTTTCTGTAACAAAACTACCATAAAGAGAAGCCTACTAGACGTTTGGTTAGGCATAAAAGGTGTATAGTTTGTTATTGGAAGAATGTTACTCTGAATAATCAATCTTTTCACGGATTGTTAAATATCGTCATAACAATTTTTTTTATTGTCTCACCTTAATTGTTTTTTTTTTATTAATATGAAAATTCATCATTCGAGGATAAATTAGGAAATTTGTCGAATTTATCATTAAAAGGAATAAGCCTGATTAAATAAAGGAAAATTTTTTGAAGATTGTACTTATTCATCAAGGGTTTTTATGTGATGTCAAAATTACAAATTAAATGATAACCATTATGCATATAATATATTAATATAATTTAAATGCCTGGAAAGGGTTACTAAGAAACTTCCGAACAACGGTGATAGTTTCATTTCCCAAACAATCGTTTGTTTTTTTTTTCTTGTTTTTATTAGCGTGGCAAAACAGTCGATTCAAAAAAAAATAATACATCATGAAATCCGAATAAATTGATTTATTTTATTTGACATTGTTCCAATTTGAATTTCGCATCAGAGCCTTGTTCAAAAAAAACAAAAAAAAAAAAATGTAAGACATGTTACATTGTTTAATATGTCACCCCATATTACCGTGCACAACGTTTAAGCGAAATCAAAAAAAAAAAAGATTGACAGCGGAGAAATCATTGATGTGTGAAATACAAACAGGAGCAGGAAATCACAATACATAATATAATATAAACAATATGAATTTAATGTAAATAATAATATACGAACAATAATTGTTTTTTAAACACAAGAAATACAGATCAACTTTATGCAAAAGATTCCCGCCAAAAGGCATTCGATCTTCCTAAAATGATAGGTCAGTCGTGGTCTATTGACTTTGGTTAACCGGTAAATTATCACAATTATGAACAAACATTATAAGAAAATTTCAAATATTGGGTAAAAATAAACTAATTGCTTGAAAATCATTCAATGATTTACAAGTCCCGACCGCTAAATTGTCTAATGATAATAATACAGTCCCCGTGATTAAAATTGGTCACCTCACGAGTTTTCTTAACATAATAAAAAATTTCGCAATATCGATTAAGCTTATTTGAAAGGATGTACTGTATATGTTTTTTTTTTGTTGTGTAATATCTTTGGTTGTGAATTTTCCAAAATGGTATGGGCGTAAAACATGTCGCATATTTTTTATTGCGACAGAGATCATGTGTTCAGTCACAAGCATCGCGTAAATAAGAAGCAGGATGTTTTTAAAATAATAGAATCTATTATTTATTTATTTATTTATATTTATGCAGGGTACCAGCAATCCATTCATGACGATGTTTTGTTGATTGAATGTGTCGCGTGGACGTTGGTCAAAGCTCCTCATGTACGAGTCGGTTAAACCTAAACCATACGTAACGTACCGGGTGACATCGGATTTGATAAAAGAGTTTGTCAGAAGAAACGTTCAAACGAGTACGACCCCGATTGGATTTGTAAATCATCCCCTTGATAAGAACGGGTACGGTAATGTGACCTACCACTCATGTTTTAATGACGCGACCCGTGAATGGAAATTAAAGAAAGACGACCTTGTTTTTAAATCAAACGGATTGCGTACGGGGCGGGGCATCTTGTACGATAAACAAGGCATTTCCTTTTTTTTAAAAAAAAAATCCATTACAATCATTAAGGTGCGCCTGTTTATCAAAATTTGTAAATCAAAAACCCTCATTTATCCAATCAAAAAGGGATTTTCCTAGGATAAAGTCTTTGTCAACAACGGAGAGAATGACCTTTGTTATTATGTATTACTAAAAAGTAAGCGTACATCGTGACACACGCCATTTCTATGAGTTTCAAGTAAGTTGAGAGGATTTTCATGAAATGTGTGACGTTGATAACGTTAACGATGATAAATAAAAAACTTATTTGACACATGTGAGAGAAGGGTTATGAAGTTACACAATGATTTCTGATATCTAGGGAAATGCTAGTGTAAATTGAGACACGTTTTGCTGCGTAATGTTTTGAATTTTCTCTCAAGAACATTTATCATATTGTTTAAAGATGCTAACAATCAAGAAGTCCTTCTTCTTCGTTCTTTCTTGTATGGAATACAGATATTGGAATCTTCATTTTGGTCAAGAAAAAAATAAATAAAAAAAAAATATAGAATAGAGAATTAAAAGAACAATACAATGTTATCTCTCTGATATCATCCATACCACTATCATTATATTACGAGAGGATATTAATAAAAAAAAAAATGATTGTATTGTTTTTTTTTTTTAAGCAAAGATAGGGTATCAACCACCTGTCTTCCATAAATAGAGGATGGTGTCACTTTAGCAAATACGAGGAAAAAAAGTTTTTTTTAAGTCCGCCACACAAACAATAAATAAAAAAAAACATATATGTAAACGAACTTTTTTTAAAAGGACAAAGTAACTATTTTTTTAAAAAAAAAAAAAAATTTTTATTTATGTTATCTTAAACAAAGGAGTGAAATGTAGAGTACTGTAAATATGGGTAAATCTATGTATGTGAAACCTTTTCTTTTTTTTTTTATACCTTTCAAATACAAAAATTTTTTTTTAGAGTCCTTTGTCTCTTGATACTTGAAAAAATCACTATATAAAGAGACCAAATTTTTGAACGTAACTTTCAAAAGAAGAAATATCTTTTTTATCAAGGAAAAAAAAAAAAACTATAAAGAATATTTTTATTTTTAAGTTTTTTTTTTAAAAAAAAATAACCGAGATTTCTTTTTTAATTTTAATTAATAAAAAAAAAAACCTTAACGTGAGAATCCCTTAAAAAAAAAAAACTTAAAAAATTTTTTTCGTTGCAGACATTTCTTTTAATTTCTTTTAACTAATTGAATTCTTTCGGAAAAATTACCATTTCTGAAAGAATTTCAAAGCATATATAAAAAAAAACTCTCAAATTGAAAATATTCACTTGAACGTTTTTCGTTCGAGCTTCCCCTATTAAAGCGTTAGTTAAAATCGAAGTTTAACGTTTAAAAAACGTCAACCAATTAATCGAAACTCAATTGTCAAAGACCGAATACAAAAATGCCTTCTGCAAACACCAACCTTCAATCCGCATTGCCAAACAACAGAGAATATGAGCTCCTCGTCATCCCACCACCTTCTCCAAAGAGTCCCACCCAACCAGCCCTTCGAACAAAGAGAATCAGTTGCAACCAGACCAATGGATCGTTTTTCTGGATTCCCGAGGGATATCGTCCCGTTTTAGTGCGCACTTCAGATTTGCCTTTGATTGTAGGCTCTGAATATAACCCACCGTCACCAAGCAATTCCTCAGGATACACAAGTGGAGATGAATCCGGTTATTAAAATTTATTTTCTTAATAACTAAAAACTTTTCTCTCAAAAAATTTTAAAATTTTCGTTTCAAAAAATGGCTTCCTTTTAAAAAAATTATAAATCTTGTAACCATTCATTTTAAAAAAGTATTTACAATATTAATTTTTTTTTTTTGGAGATCACCTTTGATAGATGTTTCTCTTTATAAAAAAAAAAAATTCCTTTCCTTCTTTTTTACAGACATTAATCCCGTATTTTTAATATAATTGTGTTTCGATTACGTTGCTCAAAGCTCTTATTGATATTATATTCTAGCAATGTTCCTTGGACTACACATCAAAGAAATACAATTATATAAACTTTATATATATATCACTTTTATCATTTCTTTATCGCCCTTATAGAATTGTAGATAGTTTTTTTTTTCCCTTTATTTTTATACCCCTTCCCCCCTTTTTTAAAAAATTTATATCCTTATTTTTTTTTTAAAAAAAAAATCGAAAAAAAAATTCCAAAAAAAAAATTTTATTTTTGTAAATCATTTTGAACCTTTTTTTATAACAAAAAAAAAAAAAACAAAAAAAAATTTCTTTGAAGGATCCAATTCTTTTGAAATTTTCTTTGAGAATCATAACCAATATATAACCTCCGATACTTAACTCTTCTTTCTCGTCTTTTTCTTAATTCAAGGAAATATTCAAAGGATATTGGATCTTTCATCATGTTTTATAAAAATCCCTTCAACCCTTTGTAATATTATTTCTCTCTTTTTTCCCCTATATATATTAAACTTTTTCTTATTCTTTTTTTCTTTAAAAACAAAAAAAAAAAAAACAAAAAAAAAACAAAAAAAATCCCCAAACAAAAGACAAAAAAAAAATTTCTTTTAGATATACAGTAGACTTCTTTTTTTTAAAAAAAAATCATTTTTTTATATTTTTCCATCAATTCTTTTAACGTTCTTTTTACTTAATGAATTTTATCCCTTATTTTATAGAACCAATTCAACCAATTATCCACACCACTTTTATAAGCTTTTATTTATTTTTCTTTATAAATATTTTATTAAGGACCGATTTGGCTCTTTCTTCTTTTTCTTGCGTAAATCTATGGTGTTTACTCAATTCCATAATATTATTGAGCGAAAACAAAAGGTATTTGGGCGAGAAAAGAAAACAGGGTCCTAGTCCTTTCAAATTTTCTTTTGTTCATATTTTTTTATTTATTTTATTTTTTTTTTCCTTGTATAAAAATAACTTCATATAAATATCTTTTTCTAAGCTTTTTTTCTTCCAGACGTTAACATAATAATATGTATATTCTTTTTAATTTAGTTGTATATAGTTCAAATACCATAATTTCATTTGAGCTGATTTTTCTAAAAAAAAGAATTTTTTGTACAATCTTTATGATGTTTGACGGAGGAATTATGTACCATATATATTCACGAACGGTTTTTTTTTGGTGATTGGTTCAAAAAAAAATTTTTTTTCTTTTTTTAAAAAAGTTTTTATCAATTTCTATTTTATTCAAAATTTTTAGTGTTAAAAGCTTAATTGCTTTTTTACATGACGTGTATATTTTATTTATTTCTTAAAATGATTGATTCAAAAGAAAATCTTTTAGCAAAAAAAAAATAAAGAATTTGGAAATGTTTTTGAAAAATATCTATCTCTCGCTTGCCCAATTTTGCAATGATTTACGTGTGTATGCGTGTTATTTTTTTTTTTAAAAAAAAAAAAAAAATTTACGTGTTTTTTTAAAGGTGACGCGACGCGAATTCTCGGGAAATGTATTTTTTGCGTGCCCATTTTGTTTTGTTTTTTTATTTATCAATCTTTTTTTATTTGTATAGGTGGGACGGTCGCACATGGTTGTACTTATGATGTAACTAACGGTTTCTCTCACTTTTAAAAAGAGAAATTCCACCGTCTCTCAAAAGTCATGAATCACTCTCCCCCCTTTTTTCTTTCCATTTTCAACCTTTTTCAAAGGAAAGATTTACTTTTCAAGTTTCCTTTTGCCAACTACCTCCCCCCCAAATCCATCCTCCCCTTTGTCCCAATTTTGTTGATAGATAGCAAATCCCCTCATAGTTGTAGGATAATGAATCGCCAGACCGATTTTGTTCTTTGCTTCTAGATAACCAGCGTATGACTTCCTAATTCGTGTTGATGTTGAAAGGGAAATGTGCTACATCAACTTTAAATGAATCCCTTTTGATAAGAGGGACCTTTTATTCGTTAATCGCTTGCCAACACACCACTTGGAAAACCCTGTAACTTTCTTTGTCATTGTTCTTGAACAAGAACTTTACAAAAAAGGAAATAATTAATAACTAAGCCTCAATGTTCGAATATAATGAAAACGCGTGGAACTCATGATATTAATTATTGATACAAGCAAAATACTGTATGTCAAATTCTCATGCGTGGCTTTTTATATATATTAAATGTAAGATGTGTTAAACAAAAAAAAAATCACTATTTTAGATAAATTAAAAAGATAACAAAGAAAAAAAAAAATTAAACTTTGGATTCCCGCGCCCCCCCAAAAATATTAATTTTAAATAATGTGTGTTACGGAAACATTTAATTGCTGGTAGCTGTAAATCTTAAACTGATCCTTTCCGTTAAACGGTAGATGGTTTATTTTTTAAAAACGCGATACGTTACGGTGTTTTAAGTAAACACTCTCAGATGACGTTATCGACGCTTTAAGTTTAAATATCCCGCACTGGTGTCATTCCTTAGCTGGAATTTCTTTTATTTTTTTTACAATTAACATACTCGAAAGATGCAAAGATTTTCACCTTAAGGATTATCTTGTTTAAAAGAGAAGATGAGATCTCGAACTGCGGCATATTTTTTTATGCTTTATGCCGCAGCAACCTACTTCCCCCTTCCCCTCCTTTATGACCTGTCATTTTCGTCCTTTCGGTGACATTGTCGTTACATTCCGATTTAATCGACACTGGCAAAAAGAAATTTTAAGTTTTTTTTGGGGGAATTTCTTTTTAAAGTTTCTGTCTCCAAAAAAAAAAAAAAATTAATAGACACTTTAATAGTTTAAAGTATATTATATAGGAAAAGATGCACAATCTCGTGTTAAATCATGCTGGTTAACATGATTTTAATAATTTTAGTTGGCGTTACTGTACCTTGCTTTGCTTTGCTTAACTGCTTGCTTATGAATACCTTTTCATTTTGTTCTTTTTGTAATTTCGGGATAAATATATGTGTGGTTGATTATTTGATTTTTTTTGAAGGAATTATGATGGATGTATGTACGGATGTGTTTATGTAATTATAAAGTACATGTAGGTTTTTTTTTTCAATAATCGATGTTTTAAAGTTGTTTATACAGTAATTAAAAATTGAAGATAATAATCTTATTGTTCTCTCCCTTCCATTTGGGAGAGAGGTAGTACTTGGCAAAATGACGCGCATGGACCAATTTCAACTCGAACCCTTGCACAAGGTGGTCTAGCCTGTCGACACTTGTTTTAAATTTGTGTTAGAAAGAACACTCGCTTGCTTGCTTCATTAAACCAGAAAAAGTTAATTTATCCATAAATCGGCATTTCATTTACGCATTTACCAATTTCCTTTTCAGTCTATCCCATTGTTCTTTTTAATTGCTCGTGAGACATCCCAACATTTTAATTCGCGTTTATTTTTTTTTTCTGTTGTATTAACTTCCCTATACACTTCTCTATAAACCAACATTCTTTTAAAAAATCGTCATCTTTTGGGAAATCTGATAAGAGATTGAGTTCCAAAACGCTCGACAAGTTAACCTTTTTAATGTTCTTTCTAAAAAAAAAAAAAAAAAAAAAAAAAAAAAAATTATAAAGAAAAAAAGTTTATCCAGAAGAACCCGCTAAACCGTAAAAAAAAATTTGACACCTAGGGGGGTTCAAACCACTCTTATCCCGTTAGATAGATAAACTTGTCAAATGGCATGTTTTATCATTGGGAAAGAATCGTCGGATATCGGAAAAAAAATAAAAAAAAATAATATGTCCCCTTTCGTCGTATTCATTGTTGTGAAAATTGAGAGATTTTTTTTGATGCCCGAAATAAGATAGGCTAGGTCGAGAGATAAGAGAATGGAAGAATTCGGAAACAATTGGAAGAAAATTTTCCTATAATAATACTTTTTTTTTTTGTTTGTATTTCAAAGGGACTGGGAATGCTGCGCCACGTCAAATATGGCATTCACCGTAGTTTAAAGCCTCAATAGGAAATTAAAATGAACTTAAAAACGTAAAGTACAAGGTATAATCGGTCATGGTTTATGATGATTCAAGTTTAGTCTGAGAAGTAGAGTTAAAGTTTATGCTTCGTTAAAAGAGACTGTTTCAAATAAGTGGTCAATCATTGCCTAAAGGACTCGATTGTTGATGGTGGGACAAACCGAAATCCCGACTGGATGCATGAAATGACAACTTCATTTTTTCCTTACTATTGTCTTTACTCGCATAAAAACATTCTCCCTTGCATTCATGCTAAACCTACAATAATACCCCCCCTTTCAACATATAAGATGATGGTCAAATCCCGCCAAATACTTTAAATCACAAGGTTTATTATTTATTTAACAAAAAATATTATTTTTAGACAGATAAAGTTTTTATTGAGGATTTTGTTTGCGCACGCGTGTCACAGGGATTCTTTACCGCAGTGTTGACAAAATGACGGACGTGATGAATAGGTCAATGTTAAATAATTTTTACGGGGAACTCCAAAATTTAATTTTTGTATTGTTCTCTTTTGATTTTTAAAGATGTATGCGATGAATATGTACGAATGTAAATGCATGCATGTGAGGATATACGGGTCGATATGTAAGAACAACTTGTATCCTCTCCCTTGTGTAAAAAAAAAAAAAAACAAATAAAGATGAAGCATTTCAAAATGAGTTTCTATTGTCCCCTCCCCTTCTCCATATTTCTTTCTTCATAAAGTCTAGAATCAACCCATTTTGCTTGGTCATGTGTTTGTCCCAGATATTCGGGTGCGAATCCTTTTATTGGACGATATATCGGAATTTTGTTGAGATGATGAGAAAATGGATTGGGATACGAGAATTTGGGAAGTGAGTCGACGTAAATGTCGACAAACAAAAAACACAAAATTTTAAGGTTTTACCCTTTTTAAAAGTTCCGATGACTTGGGTCATCGAACCTTTCTCCCCAAAGAAAGGTTCATTATTTATAAGGAATGATGATTTTGTATTGTTCTTTTTTAAACATGACACACATATCATAATCATGCCATGTATAGAAAAAAAAAAACATTTCTTGCTAAATCCTGTTTTTTTTTTTTTTTTGATCCAGTGATCCGGCATTTCAGCTAATCTCATTCGCTTGACGTGACTTTTCACGTGATTAGCACGAAATCTCGTTAGTTAAATAATATATCGCGAATTTTATTAAATCATTTCACCCCATGGGAAAAAAAAAAAAAAAGTCTGAAACTCATCAAAACGATATGTCAATAATGTCGGAAAAGGCAATTGTTTTAGACACCGAATAAAATTTGAGGAACAAACACGACCTTTTTTGTTGTTGTCTCTCATTTAAAAAAAAAAAAAAAGAAGGTACATACATCTTTTAGACTAAAAAGAGTAAAAAATTTATTCAAATACATAAATCCATTGTTTTAATAATGTATAAAGAGGTTATTTTAGGAATTCTAATTAAAATTTTTCTATTGTTCAACCAATTGAAAAGAGACAAAAAGGAAAATGTTGTGAAAGAAAATAAAAACACCTCGCGTTTTTGTTTTTGTCAAATATCTCTCAATATAAATAGATAACTTTTCATCCAATGAAAGGTGCAACTTTCCTTTAAAGATTCATTATATTTTGCTTGGTAAATTTCGATTCAGCTTTATTCCGAGGTTTTACACTTCTTTTTCGGGAGATGTGGCATAAATTTGCCTTTTTGTCGCAGGTTTGCCTAATCTCCTCCTCTATTAGGAAAATCTTCTATTTTTATTTTCTTTGGTTAATCGCGTATCATGAAATCCCGTCAATTACCGACCGAATATTCATTAGGTAATAATACAATCAACAATTTCATTATAAGGAAAAAGTACCTGTCCCCCTCATAAAAAAAAAGGAAGAAGTGAGAGAAAGAATCCAATAATAATAATAATAATAATCATAATAAACCCGATGATAATCCATTATATTATCTCAATTAACATTAAATTTCCGATTATTCTTGACAAAAATATCATAATCAAAAAAATATTCTAGCATACAGGTATCTATTTTTCCTTGACATTTTTCAATTGTTCTTTAATAATGGGGGGAAAATTTTTTTTTTTTTTTGATTAGATGATAAATGTTTTTGACCTAAGGGAAGGAAATTTTTTTTTTCCAAAAAGTTTTACTGATTTTCGATAAGAAAAATAAAAAAAAATCAACAAAAGATTTTCAATGTTGCATTGTTCTTGTTAAATGAATTAAATTAATTTTTTCACACGCCATCTCAAGCAAAAGGTTTACTTGTCTAAAATAAAATTATCTCATAAGATTATTGTTTTCTTAATCATTTTTTTGACTCTTAAATTAACCCGAAATTTTTTATTGAACTTGAATGAACGAGTAAATAGTCGAAATTCCAAATACAAATAAACAATTAACCCTTGTATAATGATGATGATAATAATCTTTCCGTCATGATCTGACTCAGAGATTCTTTACCCGGGGAAATTTGCAGCCAGAACGGTAAGGGACGTTTTTTAACTCGGGGATTCATGTGATTGAGAATTAAAAGAAATTTTTTTTATATTTTATGCCAAAATCGAGAATATAATGATTGTTCAAAAGGACAACCAACACACATGTGGCTTGACTATGACGATATTGAAGTTAATTCCTGCGGCTAAGGATTTTTTTACATTCATGTGATAAGTTGGTTAAAAATATGCTAGATCCATTTTTTCACGGTCAAAATGTTCAAAAATAAAAAAAGCATAATCGCTCTTTATTGTTCGACACTCTGTTGTGCGAAACGTCGTGTAACCTATTGATAAAGAATTTGCAAGTGCCCCCAGATTTTTTTTCCCTATTTCCCCACGTTAATATTACGAATCACTGTAGATTTTTTTTTTCTCTTATCAATCATAGACAATCATCATATAAGAATGACGTATAAATATGGTTTAATTCAGGAATTAGGAATTTATCATTAATTTTTGCGTTCGTTATAGCTTTTGGACCCCCCGATTTCTTTTCCTTTTTTTTTTTTTTTTACGTATCATCATTTTGGCAAAAAACAACTGATTGATGAAGAAATTTAATGCATGATTTATCCAATGTTTATGTGGAATCATGATACGTTTTTAAAAAAAAAATAATAAAGATATTAAATGGTTACTTAACTCGTTGTGACGATTTCACGAGTCATCTGAAAAACTTTCTTTGGCATAAGTTTTCAAAAATATAATGATTCGTCAACAGCAATAACAATCTTTATGCACACACCATTTCTTAATATTATGAGAAGCGCACAGACCATTAAAATGATCCCAATGGCTCACAACTCAATACGTATCAAAAAAAAAAATGGTATATATATTGTTGGCAAACAATATATTAAAACTGTGGGACAACATGTATCAACTCCTGTGACAATGTAAGTTAAATTAAAATCATAACGCGCCATCATGTCTAAGCGTGTATATTGCTTTATTTTAGATTATTTTTTTATTGAATGAATTGATTTTATTAGGAAGAAAACATTATACGTGAAAGGAGGATCATTCTTTTGATTCATTTCACGTCGGTATGATGTTGTAACCTTGCATCACGCGGGGACGCTATTTGCGTGTGACTTGATGATAAAAAGGACGGCAAGTTAAATTTATTGTTTGTATTGTTTCGTCTTCATTGAAATCAATTGTTTGGATTTTCTGGTTTAAGGTTACGTTGTGCACTAAATTTTAGTTTGTTGATCTTTTTTTTTGTATGAAGCCTTTTTGGACATAACGAGCGTAATCTTTTTTCCTTTTATTATGATTATTATTATTTATTTTTTCTTTCCTTTGGTAAAAAAAACCAATTGTGGTTATAAACAATAATGACAAAAAGTGAGCAAATTAAAAAAAATGCTTGCGCTAAAAATCATTGAGATAAAAAGAACAATATCATAAACAACGCATATTTTATTCTACTGAATCATCAATCAAAAGATCATTGCCTTCTTTTCATTTTTTACACATGTTGAATGAATATTATTAAAGGAGGATTCAAAAAAAAAAAAAAAAAAAAAAGAGCTTCATCACTATATTGTGCTCAAATCAATTGTTTCTTATCATCCTTTCTTTTTTCAAAAGAATAAACAAATTACATTAACATTAAATAATTATTACCCATCAACCATTTTTTTTTTTTTTTTTTGATTTTCACATTAGGAGTTTAAAAAGAAAAATCAAAAAAAATTTACAAGGCCTTTTTACTTTCGGTTCAGCCTCAATAACCACACGATATATCCCGTCCTACTAAAAAAATCGTAATAAAAAAAAAAATCAAACAAATTGTCATTATTAGATTGTTCACTGGCGTCCCTTTTTTTTTCTTTGACAAAATTTACTTAATCAGTGTAACATAGCGCCACAACAATCGTCTTCGGAATAATATGTAGGAATTTTTAAGGTTTAAATTCAGTTGATAGCTCTTTTGAAAAAAAAAAAAAGAAGCCATCATTCCTGTCAAAATTCTGGTGCTTCATTAAACTCCGATTGGATGTAGCCAAAAAAATCGTTTTGTAGAGAGCAAGCCACAATTCATTTCATATTGTTCCCTTCTCATTATCAAACCATGAAAAAAAAAAGAGTTTTTTAGTAATTTATATTAAACTTTCCATTAATGGGGTCAATCTTTATTTATATTAAGCCCTTGTGATATAGTAGATCTTTAAGATCTATTGTTTAGTTCACCTTATTTAGATTTAATAATCCACAAATCTTGCAAATAAACGAACGGTAATGACCGGGTATGTCTAATATTGTTCCAAACATTTTGCATTGTCTCGAGGATCTACTTCCTAAAAGTGAATTCAATCAAAGGATTGAAGGTAACTAACTTTCTTTATAATAGAAAGATCCTTTTTCTGATTCACTAGTTGTATAACGTTAACTCGGTTAAAAAAAAAAAAAAGACCGCAAATTCAAAACTGATGATTTTTTACGGAGAAATTACGCCAAATATTATTTGGCTTTGCATGAAAGCGAGGATAATATAGTGATTTAACTTTTGCTCGTGTAACGTGCGCATGTTTGATTGAATATTCAAAGTAAAAAATAAATTGCGGAGATTTTTTTTAATTCATGACGTGCCACGCGAGATATTATTTATTTCCTTTGTACCCTTTTGATGGATTTGAAAAAAAAAAAACTCGATCATTCTCTCGTTGAATCAATCATTCCTTTCCATTATTTTTTCTTTTCTTGTCTTCTTTTTTATTTTAATTATTATTTTTTTCAAAGGAAGAGAAGAAAGGTTTTTTTTTTTTTTTTTTTTTTAAAAAAAAAAATCTTGATGATAAAATATAGATATTACTATATTTGGGTGTGAAATTACGGAGATTTAACGCATAATGCTGCTGCTAATCATAAAGCCGAGTAATATAAAATTTAATGTATTTTTTTTTATTGATAAAAAAGAATTGATTCTAAGGAGAGAATTAATCAATGAGAAGAGAAGAGGAAGAGAAGAGAGATATGAAGGTTGTCGCTCAGAATCCTGAATGGAAATTTTTTTATTTTCCAAATAGTCACATGACTTTTTGTTCCTTTCGAAATTCAAGAATAAAAAAAAAGGTTTCAAAGAAATAAATAAAATAAAATAAATAAATTTTTTATTTATTATACTCGAATCGTTCGTTGTCCAAATTGATATCGATATTGTCGAGTCGGCACTTTTAAAAATTTATACCACGGTTCAATACGTGAACTTTTCTTTTTTTTCACATTGGATGAAAATTAATTGCTAATTAAAAAATTATTCATCACATCTTTTCGGGAAATGACCATTAAGATCGGATGGAGTTTATAACGAATTTCTTTCTGTATACGGTGCCTTTAACGAGTTCTGATTAAAATGAGACACACTTTGTAACGAAATGCATATTGACAAAAAAAAAAAAAAAAAAAAAAAATTCGTAATTGTTTTTAAAACTTTGCTAGAAAAAAAAAAAAATTCCCAAATGTTTATCTTTATACAGTAATTTAAGAATTTATTTGGCCAAAATCGGGCATATCTTTTTTTATTCAAATCATGGACAAAAAAAGCACGAGATTTGCGAAATAATTAATTGCTTTTGATCAAATTATGGTAAGGAATTTTGGTTTTTCCTGAATTTTTAAACGTCATTATGGTAAAGGATTTTTTTTTTTTTAGCTTTATTGACTGAATTTAACGTATAATAAAAGTTTTTTTTTTTAGTTTTTGCAAACTTTATTGAAATTTTATAGTGGTTTTGCGGAATTTAGTGGAATTATAGTAAAGATTTTAGCTTTACTGACTTTAGCGGAATTATCGTATGGGGTTTTTTTTTTGGTATTGCTGAATTTGCTGAATTTAGATTAGAGGATTTTGAACTAATGGATGGCGGGGGGAGGAAATCAGCATGATTGTAAACTCCGATCATTTTTGCGATATCATAATAATAAAAGGAGCATTGATCCTGATGAACTTTGCGATAATACAGTCAGAACTCTGCAAGTACCATGTACGCCCTTCTTGAATGCGCATTCTCAAGGCTTTAATACAACCTACAAAATGTACAGACTTTAGGGGGTACAGATACATTTAATGAGCAGGTTATTTATCAATATCGATCCTTTGACACGATGGTCACAATCTCATTTACAAATCCCACCCATTAACGTATTACAAAGTGTCTGCCTCTTTCGCATTTACAAAATGGGTCAATAGAATCATAGGTCAGTTGAATTTATGCATATTTTCATTGATGAAAATGAATTGCATTCGTGCAGATGGATCATAATCACCTTAACCCCCCCCCCCCCCCACATTTCAGATGATAATTTATTTGGTCAAAAAATATCTCGTTATAGCACGTGACATATCAAAGTATTCAAAAAAATAAATAAATTTTTATTTATTATAAGAACAAAAATTATCAGAGAAAAATTTATCAAATTGATTGATCTTGTTTCATATTATTCTCAAACACATTTAAATCATAAATCAAGAAGAAAAATAAATTAAAATTAAAATTAAAATAAGTAAATAATTCAATAAAAACATCAAAACCCTTTGTCATAAAAAGTCTTTTTTAGGAAAGAAAGAGTCCGGAGGCCTATTCATGCAACTAGTGTTTAAAAAGAAAAGAATATCAGAAATCGAATGTTCACATATACTTGCTTCTTCAATCAAAATATTTGTAACACTTTCCTAAAGTTGTTAACCCGTAAATAAATACTAACCTTGTGTGGAATAATGGGTTCACCGATCGAAAACGATGTACTACCTTTTAAAGCACACAAGAAAAGTAGCCAGAGTCCAACAATGACTCTTTGCCATTGCTAGTTCCCTTTCTGCTTACTTTTGTATATATTACAAGATAAATGCTGTATCAATAAATGAATGTTCTTCCAAAATACCTATAGAAATTATGTTAAAATAAAGGGGAGAATAAATCATTTAATAAGCGGAAAAGGCCAATTAAAGAACGTTATCCTCGGGCTAATGAAAAAAAAATACCGCCCTATAAGAGAACTAACGAAATCGAAAATTAATGCCGAGAAGAGTTATTGTAGTATATAACAATCTTCAAGTATAATTTTTTTTTCAAACACGGAAGTGTGAACTGAACCAAAGGACGTTAGCGCACCAGTTCAAAAGGAATTCGTGAGGCTATAAATAGAAAAGTCTAGACATAGGTTGAGAAATACCCTGCTTGGCTAATGCCTACTATGTAGCACACGAACGAGAGTTATGTAAAAGTTCTTTACCAAATATAGATGTAAAAGCGAAAAGTTCTTTTTATACGATTATACTAATTCTCACGTGACGATTATTCTCTCATTCAATTTATCTACAAGGGTTTGAAATCCGTTGAAGACAAGTTCTCTTTATATACTGTTTATCCTGCACAACTGTTGCGATATTTATATAGCAGAATACATAGAGAGTGAAGATTTTTAGAAACTAAGAATTTATTAAATTTATCAATTTTATTCTTACTGCGCCACCGCTTTATTGATTTTTTGCCGATGCAAATCAAAAAAAAAACGCGTTTACACATACGTACGCGTCATCAAGAATCTTATTAGATGCATAATTTAGGCAAACAGTCTTGTACCAATTTTCACATTAATGGAGAAATCAAATTCTCTGAGGAAGAAATCATGCATTTATGCTAATTCCTTTTCAAGAACAGGTGAGTATGGTTATCATTCTTTGTTTATATAAAAAAGCTAATGAATTGCTCTGAGCTTATAATCCAAGGTTTAGGATTTTTCGTTCCAAGTTTTCTTACTAGAGGAATTACTAGAATCATAAAAGGTAATTTGTTAATTAAGCCGGGTCGTGCCATTTATAAATTGTTGTCATATATTGTACAAGGGTTACTAATGTTCTTAAATAAATCTCCAATAATATGGTTTCAGATTTAAGCTTAAAACTTGAAAAGTGCACAAACATGCTTTTTTTTTCTAAAATAAAGCCTTTTCTAACCCTAAAAATCGCTTTTATTTATTTATTATCCAGAATGTATTTAAATGGGGTAAAATAATTTAATGCAAGTTAAAATAGTTAAAATTTTAATGCAGATTTAAGTATAAACTACTTCTGACCGACCAATTTTTAATCGGAAATTAACTTTAATTCATGTATAACAATGACGCATCTTCCCTGTTTGTCAATTATCACATATATATATACATTTACAGGTGTGCGTATTGGTTTCAAACAAGAGTTAAAAAAAAATTGTAATTATTATTTTTTTTTTTTACATGCATCATTCTTTCGCCCCTTTAGTAACAACCGAAGGCGCCAAGGTTACTTATTTTCTTTCCCTTTCTTTCACCTCCTCTCCTTTAATTTGATCGCTTTAACTTTACTGAATTTTTATTACGCGTTTTGGATGATAAGTTGATTCATGCAGATGAAGTTTGTGAATCAAAGGTTAAACTTTAACAAGTTTAAGATGTAAAAAGAGCATTTATTTGATTGATTTGTCAGATTGTGTAAAATCAATTAGTTCAATTATATTATTACGAATATTTATCAATGTCTTGAATCACATAATTGGTTAAATGCTTCTCTTTTTGTATATAATATAATATAATACATCTTTCATCAGGTTCACATTCTTTTTGTTTGTTTTTTTTTTATTTTAATGAAAAATTTTGTCGGCCATGATAAAAAAAGGTCAGTTTTCCGCCTGCCTGTGCATCTACGTCCCGTCCCGATCTAAGCAAGAAAATTAGTGGTGGATGATAAAGAATCTTTATTGGGGAAACTTTTTTTTATGAAAAAAAATAATAAGGCACAGCATGTAAACAACAAGTGAAGAGAAAAAAAAAGGTTTATCATTTTATGATCTTTCTTCCTTAAGAAGTTTATTCCGGTTGCTTAATTTGCTCATTACAAAGAATTAAAATATACAGCCGTTTTATTAAAAAATACATTTATTGTGATTCTTTATAGAATGAATGAACGAAATAAATGCTAATTGGTTCTCGTGGAAGATGCACTGTGAGAGAATGTGATTAATAGATCATCTTTTCATCTATTTTTTCGGTATTATTAAATTATTTTCAATTTTCATTATAAAATTATATTTTTTTGCATTATGGATATAAATATGTTTGTGAATCACTTATTCTTATTTGGTCAAAGAAAATGCTTACCGTATACGCAGATGCGATTTATATACGCCGGACGCAAGAAGAAAAGGTGAGGTAATCTTAAGTGTACATATGTTGTACTAACGGAGTTTTCAGGATCCGTGAATTTAAATGAATTACTCATCTTTAGGAAAGCTATCGACGTTCATTGAGCGTGTTTCGTGTTTTCTAAGGAATCAATCATGTACTCATACTAACATATGTACAATAATAAAAATAAAATAATCAATTTATTTTATTTGTAATTTGTTTATTTATGTAAGGTATTTTAATTTTATTTTAATTTATGTAATAGGTAAATAATTTATTTATTTTTACTTTATTTTTTTTTTTACGTATAAATTGAGCAACTTACTTATTTGGAGATGAAAGCGATCAGATAAAATCAAAAAATTTTCTGACGTAAAAGAAAATTTTGGGATCACAAGGTGTGTTACCACCTGATCACTCGAACGATAAGTTTTCTTACAACAGGGGTACCCAATAATAGGGTCATACGAGGTAAAGATTTGCGTCTTTTACCTAATAGCGGTTGACATCGGCGACTCAATTATGGTTTGATGATTGGTTCGAAATTTTTTTTAATTCTTATACAAGTTTAGGACTATAGTGTTCATTTGTTTCATAATTGGGAAAATTGAAAGCATCTAATTATTTTCCTCCCTCTTCTCTTCTTTTTTTTTTTAGATTTCTAAAAAGATTTCATTTGGCAATGATTGATTAGAGAAAAAAAAAATTATTTTCCGAAATAATCCATTGTTGGCTAGATAAACTAATTCTTATTGAATTAAAAAAAAAAACTGTAGACAAATTAGCTAAACAAAATGACTATAACGGTCTATTCCTATGTGGGCGATTGTGATTCACCTTACTCGCGACACTCTAATTTAAATAATGAGATTATCATTCGATTTCCGTCCTTCTAGAAAAAAAAAGATATTTAATGTTTTAGGTTTGCATCAAAGGCAAGGAGCAATATAATAAATAATGTTTAGAGGTTTGAGATGAGAAAGCAAGGGGAGGGCAAAAAAGTGTAATATATAGACCGAAGAAAGAATTTTTCAATAAAAAAAATTGAATCTAACTAAACCGGTACAATTTCGGGGATAATTTTAGGGTTCACTTTTTTTTATGATGATCGGGAAGGGGATAACCATTATTCTAAAATTTATGTAAGGATATGAACGAGGGAGGTGTGATAAAAATCTACAAATACAGCTAGAGTACTTTTTTTATATACTTCTATTTTAATTATAATATAAAAAAAAAATTATATAAATGTGTTCGAAATTAAATTAATTTTTTTTTTATAAAAAAAAATCGAAATCAATTATTTTCTTTCGGTTTAAGAAAAAAATAATTATAAAAATAAGGTAGCATTCTTTTAATTTTTTTTTTTTTTTTTTTCCCCTCTTTAAAAAAAAAAAAAAAAAAAAAAAAAAAGAAAAGACACATTTTTCTTTTCACGCCTTTTTTTTCCAAAAAGAAAAAGGAAAAGAAGAAAGGAGAAGAAGACAACCCCTTAATTTCACACTTCACGTCTTTGTTTTATTCTCTTTTGTTTGTTTTTTTTTTTTATAACAATCATCTCGGAATTAGATATATTATCGAAGATTGTTTCGATGAATGCATACGATCATTTCGTCTATTAAATCATCTCAACCATTTGTCTCATACACAATTTTTTTGTCCCTTTTTTCTTTATTTTGACCTGTTAGTTTCTTTTTAAAAGAGAAACCATTACATCTATATTTATCCTACCACGAATCTCTTCTTTTTTTTTCTCTCGTCAGTAAATTTATCTTGTCTGAGCTTTCACCCCTCCCCCGTGATTTTCATCTTATTCGCGATTCCCTTTTACAAACAAAAAGAATAATCATAATGGAAATTGATTCGTGTTCTTGGAAAATGAATCAAGACAATTCTGCACCAACAAAGCCTTCTTCCAATATCACTACCATCACCGTAAACAAATCAAAACCTAGTAAATCGGAAACAAAACAAAAGGTTCCGTTTACATTAAAATATCAATTAAATATTCGTAAAACCAACAACGGCAATGGCAATAATAATAATAAATTATCATCAAACGACATCCCTCTTCCAATCGGTTCGCATTCTGGACTATTACAAGTCGATCAAGACAAAGGGCAAATGTTATGGGCTCCTGAAGGCTACCTCCAGGTGATTTTCATTATATTTCCCCCCTTGTTTTAATAAAACAAAGAGGAAAAAATTAATTCTTTTTATTATATAAATCTTTTTTTCTTATATTTATTTTTTTTATTTTTTTATTTTTATTTTTATTTTTTTGGAAAACAATTTAGAAAAGACGAATGACAAATTGCAATTCATCACCAAAACCTTATGACATAAAAGTTCCAAGACCACCTAACGCGTTCATTATATACCATAGGAACAAATCCAAGGAATTGGCGAAATCTAAATCCATTGGAAAATGTGAATCATACGAGCGCCATCCATCAAAAACCGTGGCGGAGATGTGGAAAGAAGAACCCGAAGCAATCAAATTAAGATATCAAAGAGAGGCGGATTTGGCCCTTGTAGAACATAAAAAGAAATATCCCTTTTATAAATACAAACCAAAAAAAAGAGAGAGTAAAAATAAAACGAAGTCACAAAGTAATTCCAAAGAGGTGATAAAGGATTTAAATAATGATCATAAACGTAACGAAACTGTGATAAAGGGGGATTCCGAAGTGCCTATGCAACATCGGAAACAAGCTGCAATGGAATCAGCTTTTACAGCGTTCGATATGCAAAGTTGTTCATCCTCTTCGCATGAAGAAGAAAATTCCGCCGACAACATTTCTGTTAGTAATCACTCACCACCGCACACCCCTACTTCGCCAAATTCTGTCAACATGCCACATTCACGAGCTCCGGCTTCACTTTGGATTGAACCCATCACCAATAAACAATTTTTTAATGAACATTTAAATTTCTCTCCTTCACAACAAACGAATCATCGATGTCAATGCACGGCTCATTGTGTAAATAATAATGATGTTATGACGTCTCTGGGAATATTATCTCCTGAGCAAGCAGCGTTTTCTATAATATTCAACAACGTTTATAAGCAGACCGTAGATCAATTTGTCAATACTTATGGGTTTATTTCACAACATCCCAATTCGGCAACGATCGCCGATGATCTTGTAACTTCCCCCTACCCCACCACCACTTGCGACATGAACGAGACCACCTACTTTCCGCCTCAAAATTGGACATACACGGCTAATTACGTTGTGCCTTCTCAATCTCCGACATCTTCATCATCATCAAATGTTGTTCCTTCACCAACTTCGACAGGTTATATGCCTTGGATTACATATGGTCAATCAATGAATTCACAATTTATTGATCCCATACAAAATATTCCAAATATTGTGCCAAATGAAACCAATTGTAATTTATTTACGGATACAAATAATGAAGATTGCGCTTTATTTGATAATTTTGATGCCAATCTTAATTTTTCTCTATAATATATATATATTTTTAATAAAGAAAAAAAATATATTTTTTTTTTCTTTTTTTCTCTTTTTTTTATTCTATACATATTTTTTTTTTTTGTTTATATTGTTTATTTTTTTTTTTTTTGTACATTAACAAATTTTATTTATTTATTTATTTTGGAAGATAATGATAATGGTAATATAAAAAAAAAATAAAGGGAGAGAGAAAAAAAAAAAGAAGAGAATATTTATTTTTCTAGATTAATTTTTATATCTGAATTTTCATAATTTACATAAAAAAAAAATTTTATTTTTGATCTATTATCCTTTATAAATTTTTAATAAATGAAATAAATCGATTCAAATCAAAAGATATATAATATACATACATATATAAATAAATATATAAATAAATAAAATAATAACAAAATAAATAATACATATTTGTTGAAATATAAGGTCCTAAATTGGCGGTTTCAAAGTTTCGATGCAACCATTGACTCCAATGACTCCAATGGCGGGAAACCATGACTAAAATAAGCATGTATCGGATTTCAATTATGTCTTATTTTAGGTCTCAATATTTAAATTTGAATTCTTATTTCTGTTTCACCAAAATCATCTTATAGTAAACCTTTTTTTAAACTTTTTTTGTGGTTAGCTGTTATTCGAGGTTATTAATTAAGGCAATGAATAATTTTGTTCAACAACGTGAATAAAATAAATTTCGGTCGTGATTCTTTGATGGATTTTAAGGTGAATGACTTTAGGTTAATAATCAAGATCCATCATACCATGATGTATGTGAGTGGTGCTTCCAAACAATTACTGTCGCATCCTGCTCCTTCCTGTTCTTTCTGCTTTCTTTACTAATTGTTATGCCCTTTTTGGGTTCATTCATGTTTTGTTTTTTAAATTCTAATCGCTTCAACATCACCAAAAATTAAAGCAAGTCATTAAATTGCATGAGTGCACGATAAGTATTAATGTGCATCAAGCTTATCATTATATAATGATAATAATTAAAACATTTCCATACGAGAAATCACATGAATCGATTTTAGCATAAGAACATAACCATTATCCATTATTCGATCGATGTAAAACATGCAAAGGATCATGACAAATCATATTCAAAACCATTATTAATAATGTCAAATCCTGTAATTGTAAGCATTACTAAATCTGTTTAAAGAATATTTATTTTATTTAACCTAAGAGGACAGGACATTTTTCTATCCTTCTCATCTCTGTTATTTCGTATATTTCGTGTTTTATTTCGTGCTTTTTTTTTTCGCCGGCGAAGACAAGAGATGTATTTACATCGCATAGATAGCATTAATAGTTAGCATACATAGGCATCTTGCATGAAAAAAAAAAATTTTTTTTCCTGTTGTAACATAGGAAATTAAGGTGTGTGTCGTGTGTTCATATTTTTTTTATTTGTGACAAAAAAAAATAAAATAAAATCATAAAGGTAAAAAAAAAATAATTAAAAAAGTTAAAAATAAAATAAAAAAGAAATCCAAAAGATGTTGTGCTCCATGATAAAAGATCTAAAGTTCAAAATTTAGTACCAACCGTTATTCTCATACGTTTCTTTAAACATTTCGTTATAAAAACAAATAAATTGGCATACAATATTAAAAAAAAATTGGAGAATCCTTAAAATTTCTATTGTTAATTAATCAACGTGCGTTTTTTTGTTACGTTTGATACGTTTTTGTCGGTCCATATGAGATTTTATTATAAGGAAAAAAAAAAAAAAAGGCTTTTAACCTTCACATTTCGTAAGTCTCCTAAACAAACTTTGCTTGACAAATAAACCCTAAACAAAATAAATATGCTATAAAGTTATTTATGGAGCGACATGATAGGTTATTATCATATCACATTGGTAATCACTTCAAAATTAGATGCATCGTTTCCTCGTGTTGATCCTACAAATATTCGGCTAAATTAATCCTGTATATCCATTTTTTTTTAAAAAAAAAATATTTTTTCTTTTTCCTAATGTTCGGAAATTGAACCCTGATATTTTTGTATGTTTAACTAATTAAATCTCATCCCTTAAATAAAGAACATCATGAAATTTTTTGTAAGTTAAAAAGAAAAGATCGGCTATTTATTTTTATTAAATTATGGGGGGATTTTTTTTTTTGCATTGTTTTAAAAAAAAAACGAAAATTTAGGTTTTTCTGAGATCATTAATTTAATTTGATACAAACAGAACACTTTTTTATTTTTTTTCTTTCTTCTTTCTGTTCCCTATTTTTTATTTTTAGGTTCCATCAACACAAATACCTTAAGCCATATTTCTTAAAAAAAAATAAAACACCAAATTAGGATACTATTGATAATCACTAGACAAACAATATCAAATAACACTTATGCGTAAAAGAAAGAAATAGAAAAAAAAATATATCTTTCTTATTCGTCTTTGATTCTTTCTTTATACAGGATTACCTGTACATCCCGTATGCAGAATAAAACAAACATCTCTTGCGCCCTACATAATCTCTTTATAAAGTCGAAAAACATCAAATGATCCGTTTTGATCGAGTATTAGGTAATCTAAAATGGAAAACAACAAATTTCGTCTTTGTATAAGGTCATAAAGGAATTCTAGACTCCTGTGCCTTTCTTTGAGATCAAAAAAAAATTACACAAATTTATTAATTCATTCTTGTATTGTAAATAAATGGTTGATTTTTAAAAAGAAAACCACTACCGACCCCCTAATTGATCCCATTAAAGAAACTGATTCATTCCAAATATGAAAATAATTCGGAAAAAGACAACATTGGTGTTCCATTACACACGAATAATTTTTTTTTCCTAAATAAAAAAAATATGTTGTTATTATTAATTAATAAACTAATAAATAATGAAAATGTATCCATTAAACATGAACAAGCTTTTTTTTGTTTTATTATTATTATTTCTTTATCACAACACAAGGTAATCCATATGATCAAAGAATTCGAAATTTTATTGTCGTGTTAGCATAAATGGCATAAATGGTTATTTATTGCTATTACAAAACAAAAAAAAATCGATTTGCTGCATGCCAAGGTCTCGTATTAGTTGACCTTTGTGATCTTTAACGTTTCGCTACATGCTCCCGCTATGGTTTTATCACAAGTCACTTATCACAAATGGTTGGATATCACGCTACAAAGATTTCATCATAGGTGTAATGGTGTTGTGTGCCCGTAATACCCTGAGCAAAAATTGACCCTAAAACCATGAATCACTTAAAAAAGAGTCATACCAATCCTTATCCTTTATTTATTATAATAAAAACAAATTAAAAATCTTTTTTGTAACTTGTTGCTCAACATGATAGCGGAACTCGCGTAAAATCTTACACTTAAATTATTAAGTATTTATTTTGGACATTATCAGAGATTTTTCATATCTATTTAAATTGTCAATACGGATCTCATAATGACCATTTTTAATAATCTTTAGAACCTATGACCGTCTGTTCTTCTCATTTAGATATACATTTGAACGGGCGCTCTCGGGGTCTAGCTATCGAGGGGGGTGAGAATGATTCGGGTTCATTATAACGCGACGTTATGTAAATTAAAAAAAAATTTAAAAGAAATTAACGTTAATTTTTCTGTGTTTTCTTGGTCGAATTTGGAAAAATAAAGGAATTTACCGATGCTAAAAAGACTTAATGCAGTATGTCAAAGTACATAATTTCAGTTTTTGCTTCTTATTGGTTCTTGTATCGGAAAATCGACTTTGAATAAGCTATGTTGTCTTTCCCGTTTACTACATATAAATAAAGGTCGATCTCTATTAACCCGCCAATTTTGAAAATTTTCGTCAATTAAAATTAGTAATCTCTAGTTCCTTACATGGTAATGCGGACCGGAGCTATTCTTCGATTAATTTTCCTTTTTGCATCTGCGTTATACACTTGTATTTGTGTTCACTTTCGATTTACTATTGGATGTTGATCCTTGCATAGTTGATTCCCCCCGAATTTAATTTGTGTTTCTCTTGAGTATTAAAAAAAGTAATTTATAGTTCTTTCGACTTTTTTTTTTTTTTTTCAAACGTCGTTAAACATTGCGTATTACACACGAGATACATCCTTCCCATTTTACCTTAAGAAAAATTTATTTGTTATTATTATTATATATGCATTATCTATCCAGTAATCAGCAATGGTTCACACTTCCCTGAACCTTCTTTTTATAGAATTCATCTTTTAATTAAAATGTCAGTTTTTGAATGATGCACAATTCCGTTAATTATACTAATGCTTCCTGTTGGCTTCAATGTTTAGGAAAAAAAAAAATTTTTTTTTTGCCCCCAACGAAAAAACGCGAGATAGGACAACCGATCCCTTATCTTATGTTTATTTTCTACTTTTCGAAAAGGAAATCTCTTATCGCTTGTTTTATTTGTTTTCTTTACCATTTAACGTTTATAAAAAATTTTATACACCTTCTTGATCAGATTCTTGTGTCCACATTTATTTTATTCTTGTTATTAATAATATTGATGTTGTTGTTTGTCAAATTTCTCATCAAATGGTATCATCCTGTTTCAATAAAAAAAAAAGGGGGGGGGTTCATGTGTTCTTATTGTTTGAATTTTTCCATCTTACGCGATCCCTTACGAATGAGATTTTTTTTAAAAAAAAAAGCAATTAAACTCACGGCATGACAATTTGAAATATTTTTTTTGGCGGGATATGATGATGGTTACAGTGTTTTGTTTTGCATGAAAAAAAAATTTTTTTTTTCTTGTGTGTTTGTTTTCTACTTTAAAAAAAAGTGTTATTTTTTTGTCCAATCCAATAATACAACTTATTTTTGATGCATATTCGGATAATATTATATTTAGAAGTAGATTTTAATTAATTAATTATTAACATAATGTCACATTTCATTCAGATCGTCGGATATTTTTGACCAGGTCAGGCGATGTGATTGACCTTTTTTTTTTGATCTTCGGGTAAAATGCTTGGTGCTTGGTACTTTGGCGCGATAAAAATAATAATAATTACCCTGCATGTCTATAACTACTCATATTTACGCAAGAGGAAGATTTCATAGGTCATTTTTATCGAATCTAACCGTGTATCAAAAAATAACTTGTAAAATTGTAAAACTTATTGATCATTTCTTTAAAAGTAATCCGAATTATTAATGATTAAATAAGCCAAAAGGTAATCAATCAATCATCCCTGTCTTATCGAAGATCTTCTATCTCACTTTTTTTTTTTATTTTTTATAAAAAGAAAGAAAGACAGAAACATTAAAGAATTGTATATACAATGAAATGCGGCCCCATATATATTTTTATTATTTTTTTAAAAAAATGATTCACATTTGCGCGAAGAAGACAGCGAGGAACATGGTAGATCGATTGATAACCCTTATTATACGCACATCGCGAACGTACGCGGTGTATCTTTCGCAATCATTTTTTTTTTTTTTTTTTTTTTTTTTTTAAAAGAAGACTTTGACAAGGGTAGCCGACATGACATATATTATCCAAATTGTAGGGATAAAGGGGTTTCATTTCTTACCTGGGGTGGTACCCTCGGAAAAGTATCCGGTCAAGTAAATTTTCTTTTTATTTTATTTTTTTTTTATATTTGGATGTTCTCAGGGTTTTTAAACATGATTATATAAAATTGAACATAATGATTTGCATAATTTTTAAACCCTGAATTCTGAAGTTATACATACATTTTATTTCGTGTTACGACGGTTGGTTCAATTTAGGCAAGAAAATAAATAACAATGATCGATTTTTTTTTATACAATCAATATATTCATATAACATAATTGATTAGTTAAATAGTATCTAGTACCCTAAGTGTAATACATACAAAGTAGTCCAGGGTTGGATATAAAAAAAAGATTAATGAATAATTTATTTAAGGATATTCTTCTACTAAGAAGCTCCAGTGGTGTAGTGGTTATCACGCGTGCTTCACACGCACGAGGCCCTCGGTTCGATCCCGAGCTGGAGCAACTTGTAATTTTAAAAAATCAACCATATTACATTACGATCTTTTATTTTTTTTTATCATGTGACTTTTCATTAAAAAAAAATTGATTAACATTTCAATTCCAACAATCTTTTAATTTTATTTTTTAATCTTTGTGGATTTATTTTATCTAAATAAAAAAAATATATATTTTACATTTTATCTATTTGCAAAAAAAGAAAAATATATTATTATTACCCGTATCACCTTTTTTTTTATTTAATCTTTTTTTTTTGGTCTAAAATTTATTTGCTGTGCAAAAAAAAAAAAAAAGAATATCTTCTATGAAATCCATCATTTTGACGAGAAAAGAAAAAAAATGGTGATTAGGAAAAAAAAATTTACAATTGTTCATTTGGTTATAAATCCTCCAAAAAAAGGATTGAAAAAGAAAAAAAAAAGGATAAAAAAAACACCAATGTCCGTCTAATTTTTATGTTTGTTTAAATTTACAAAGAGAGAAAAAAATAATCGTGCGACCTTAAAAGCAAAATAGTTTCATTGTTGGTTCACTATCTAAGCAAGGAGCACTATTGTCTAAGGAAGCTGTAACTGGAAATTTAAAGATCTTTTTACAAAGTTTCTATTTTGCAATATATATATATATTTGTTGAAAGTAGGTGTTACCATCATCTTCTTGGATGCTTTTATATGTTTGTGTCTATAAGGGCGCTGATGTATTTAGATAATCTTAGGTTAATATCGAGTGATATTATCTATATTAAAATGATATTAGGTAGTATATATGTCAGAGCCCTAAAATGTAGTAGTAGTATGTATTTTTTTAGTATTGATTCTGTATTTATTGTGAGTCTATGTCTGGTTCCTGACACCATTCGATATATATTTCTTAATCAGAATTTTAAAATCTTTCTATCAAGGTCTGTGGCCACCTTCTCTACTTCTCTGATTTGGATCTCGTCCAAAAATATCAACGAATCCTTCACGACCACTGTGTCTCATCACGTCAAATATGTCTCTTGCGTTAACAGGTGTACCGAGCGGATCATAATCTTCATTCATATCATCACCGTTCCCAATTTCATGATGACGATTACTTCGAATGTCATCTTGAAGGAAAATCTGCCGACGATGATTTTGAAAGTGTGAATGATGCGAATAATGTAGATGATGATGATGATGATGATGATGATGCCTGTCATCATTATCATCGATACTAGCATCAAGAATTTCATAATCCTCATCGGGAGGAGTTGACGTCGACGGAAACGGAGGAGGAAGAGCTATAAAACGTAAATGACCCCCATCATGAACGTTTAAGGGTGGACTTGGCTGTGGATATACACGACCGGGAAAATTTCCAATCTGAAAGTGATTATCTGACATGGGGAAATGATGACTTAAAGGGTTGTCGGATAACCTGAAAATCTGAGCGGGTTGATTATTTTGATGTTGTATATGAACTTGGTAACGAGGTTGATTTGGCTGTCCGTCCTATTAACTCAAAGAAATTTGAGTCTTAAAATTCATTAAAGTACAAAGAAAGAATTGAAAAACACAAGCTTAATTCGTAAAGGAAAAGTTTGAAATTATAAAGCTTACCTCAATTGGTTCAGGAATGTTTGGTGTTATCCCTGACACGGACTTTACGGCGATTAGGATACCACCCCGATATGAAGTAATATTCTCGATTTCTGATTGATAAACGAATGCCAACCTATTTATTATTCATGGTTAAAAATGCACACATTGAGTTTGGTTACGGGAGATTTTGGCATTGAATGAACTTTATGATGATCGTGTACACACGACTGACCTTGAACTTTCTTCGGATTCATATATACTTTTAATGCTGATGTCAACCTCTTGGTCAGCCCTTTCTAACTCTTGACGTTCGGATTCCAAATTTTCATTTGCAGCCCTGAGTTCTTCAATTCTCCGTTTATAGTCTTGGCGTATGGATGGTTGTTGCTGTTGTGTACCCCTGTAAGAATTATCATTGGTGATGATTGTGAAAATTATTTACGCGATTATATCACCAATGGGCAAGGAGAATGCGCATTTCTGTTGTACAAAGCAAAACCATAAAATTACAAGAGCTTTGCTCAACTAAAAAACAAGTATAACACACACACTTACTTCCAACGAACATGATTTTTTGAATTTTTTTCAATTAAACCAATTCCTTCCAACACGTTTGTAATATCATAAATTCTTCGCTTTTGAACTTCTAAGGCGGTTGCTGCTGTGTTTAGGTCCAAGTCACCATCCTTTGCTCTCATAAGTAAATTCACAAACTTTTTGGTAAGTAGACCGAGAGAACTGTCATATCGACACGAGCCGGCGACGACAGCACCGGAGGTGTCTTTTACAAAAAAATAATATATATATATATATATTTAGATAAAGGTATAGTTCTGACATTATGTCTCATTTCAAGAGAAAAGCGGAAGTGTTGTTGTTACCGTTCGTCGGAGACTCCAACGCAATTTGTTTTTTATGTGTACTCTTCCTCCGAGCTTGTCGAGGTGGTTGTGTAAATGGATTTGACCTTGTTGAAGATGAGGGAGGATTGAGCCTTTGTGAAGCAGTGCCTCGACGGGAGTTGGCGGAAGGTGAGTTCAATGACATATCTTGTAGAAGGTTTTTTTTATTTTCCATTTTTTTTTTTCCTTTCCGCTTGTTCAGCTTCTGAAGGTTGACCGAAATAAAAAAAAAATGAATCTAATGATATGCAGTGCAATAAGATATTGATGAAACGTCACCGAGCTTTTTTTTTTCCTAATGAAAGAACCCTAAAAAAGCTCGTTATGTGATCATTAGCCAATAATATATTGTTAAAAAATAATATGCATTGGATAATTTTAGTCTATCCGCGTAAATGGCGCGCGGGGAATGGTGCGGGACCATTGTAGGTGCTTAGAAAGTTTCTAAATGAAGCATAATTGCTGTGGTAAATTTTCCCAAATGAGCGAAGAATGACCGAAGGAATGTTTGTTAATTAGTTAAAAAAAAAAAAAAATAATAAAATAATTTAATGAAAATGATTATAATGACATGGTTGGGTTAAATAATTAAAAATCAATTGAGTTATTCACAAACCCTAATGCTATTAAAATTATCCTCTTTGTTCTCTTAATTTGGGGATTTTTTTTTTTTATCAAACAAAATTTGGTAAAATTGCTCTTTTTGGTTTGAAATACGCGCAAAGGACCTTTCTTCCTCATTGTGGCATTGTTTTCTGAATGACAACTAATACAACCTAATGTTGCACCATTGTTTGAAAAGGTTGCACAAATTACACCAAAATAACAATGAAAATTGGAAATACAAATACAATGAACAATAATTTTACGATCAACAGTCAATTGATCGAATGCGGTAAAGGTATATTCGGAATTCCCGATGATACTGGATAAGAAAAGGTGTTATCGATTTCCTAATTTTTCATCTAGGCTTTTGCATAATTCGGCGTTAAAGTGAAGTATGTATGCAATTTGCCGCAAAATTATAATAAAGAACTGTTGAACCTGCATTTATGGTGTTTCGAATTTATATAGTGAAGAAAAAAAAATTTTCTAAAAATAAGCAAGTGTCGTAATTACTTTACTAAAATAGTTTTAAGCATTCTTAAAATCACATTGTTCTAAAATTTATTTACTATCCTTTTAATGGAAAGATTAAAATTTTCTTTAAATAATATAATTCCGGCCGACATTGTTAAATTTATTATTGCTTATATTGCTCACCAATAATGTCAGACCATCTTTTATCTTTTAATTCTCTAAGGACACCATCTTTAAGTTCTCTTGCTTTACCAACACCATCATACCCAAAACTGGTGTATAATTGTACTAAAGTTGCACCTGCTCTTGCATATTCAATTGCATCTTGAGCATTTGAAATTCCCCCGCAACCAATCAATAAAAGCTTTCCGTTTGTATGTTGGTATATTTTACGTAATGCTTTTAACGCTAATGGTTTAACTGGCGGTCCCGATAAGCCTCCGGTTTCTGATATTAAAGAAGGATCTAAAAAATATATTTTATATATATATATGCACGTCAATCGAATGTAAACTTAAATCACAAACATTTTTTTTTTATACAAACCACTTTGTAATATATCTGGTCTTGATATGGTTGTATTGGATACAATAACGCCATTAACGCCACTATTCAAAGCTGCATCTGCAATATCTTCTAATTCTTCATCGGAAAGATCAGGTGCAATTTTAACCAATAGGGCCGGACGTGGTTCATGTAGCGAATTTCGTGCCTCCGTAACCTAAAAAAAGTTAACGATAAGGAGAATCTTCAGTAAAACTACAAACAAAAATGACAAGTTCATACTATACTTGCCTCTTTTAACAACTTCTCAAAGATCCCTTTCCTTTGTAATCCTCTTAACCCGGGGGTATTAGGACTACTGACATTTATTACCAGTACATCGGCATAACTTCCAAGGGTTTTTACTCCTTTAACATAATCCTGAATATCTTCAACGCTACTCCATTTGTTTTTTCCTAAATTAATTCCCAGCAATTTTCCCTCTTTCAAACTTCTATTTGTTCCCAACGCATCAGACAATGATACACCATCTGGTGATGAGGCAAGCAATGCCGCAGTCGTCCTAGGATGAAGTTTTGCCGAGTAATAAAGGTATCGTCTTAAGCGATCACGTAGCCGTAATTCTACCTGCTTATGACCATCAGAATTGAAACCGTAACGATTTATCACGGCTTTGTCTTCAGGAAGACGGAAAATTCGTGGTTTTGGATTTCCAGGCTTTGAAAAATTATTATTAAGATATTGAAATACGTGAAAACAAATTATTTTGGAATATATATAAGAAATGATTATGAAACGAAATGTACCTGAGGTTCGGGAGTTACGCTTCCAATTTCAACATATCCAAATCCAATGTCAAATAAACCATCAATAGCTTCTCCATGTTTATCAAATCCTGCTGCTAAACATATCGGATTAGATATCTTTTTACCCCATACCTAATCAGAAAATTTTAATTGAAATTTTCACAAATAAAGATTTTAAAATACTAACCAAAATAAATATCGAATTAAAAACAACACGCGATTATGCTTTTACACAAATCATAAAGTTAATAATGAAACAATGTTATGAAATGTATAAAATTTTAGTATACCTCAACAGAAAGCCTTTCGTCATCAGGTAATCTATCTTTAGCATTTAATCCCCATTTTGAAACCCATATGGCAAATTTATGACTTGATTCTGGAGTAGTTACATTTCTCAATAAGGGCATAAATAGATATTTATGAATTGCTGCTCTAGAATCAAAATAATATTCTATAAAGAAAATCGCGCCAAGGACACTAGTTGTTCCAATAAGGAAATTCCTTAATTTATAAGTAGGTGGAGGAGCTTTAATGGAAGTAGTTGTAAGAGTTCGCTGAAAAGTAATTGGAATTTTATATGCATTGCGTGAAGAGTATACTATAGAGTAAGATACTCGCGATGTTAATAGTTCCCTAATTGTATATGATAATATCCGAGAGGAATTCATTATAATTAAATTGACTACATAAATTCGAAACTAGATCAAAAAAAAAAAAAAAATTTTTTGAATTAAGGTTGTGGACTTAGCCAAATAAATAAAAAAAAATCATTGCTTAGCGCCGGTAAAACTTCTCTTAACGGCAATTGATCAGATGATAATGACATAACTCTATTGTGACATAAATATTTTTTGTATTTAACTTTTTAATTTTGTATTCAACTCTTTTTTTAACAAATTTTCTCTTCTTCGATCAAATATGCCTATCATAGTAGACAGTCAAGAACAGTTCGATAAATTTATCACTAATGGAAAATTAGTATGTTAAATTAAATTTATTTTATCTTATTATGATGATTTTAATAAATTTGGTCATTTGGATGAATGTATAAAGGTTATCGTTGATTTTTGGGCAGATTGGTGTGGTCCATGTAGAATGATTACCCCCAAATTTGATGAACTCTCAAAAACTTACCCGGAAGTTATCTTTCTAAAAGTCAATACAGACGAACATGAGGTATGCAAAATCTCTTTTTATTGTTTTTTAAAATGATATTTTTAAATTTTAAAACTTTTTTATATTTAAATAATAGAAATTAATGCAAGAACAAGAAATTAAATCGTTGCCAACTTTTCGCTTTTTCAAGGATGGCAAAACGATCAAAGATGCTGACGTTATTGGTGCCGATCCTAGAAAATTGGAAAAAATGATTAAGGAACAACTTGGTTTATCATAAATTTTTTTTTATTTACAAATTATTATCTAATTTAATAAATAAACAAATAATCGTTAAAAGATACTTGTGGGGAGGGGAGAGCACACGATTCTCATTTATGTAGAATTAATTACCAATAAATAAATTTCTTACTAGTTACAATATTAAAGATCATGAAATTATCTGAAGACTTTCCGCATGTTTCAGATTACGTGAAAAAAGAAATGTTTGAACTCAACATCTCATCCAGAAGTCAAAGCATATTGAGGTTTCAACCTTCTCGTAAAGCATAAACAAAATCTATTAATGTTTGAAATAAATTGCATGAACTTAGTGAAGTTGAGGAATTGAATTACTCAATTACTCACCGCATGAACAGACAAACCAGCGTTTTGGCAACAATTTTGAATTTGCTATAAAATATGGGGAAATTAAATACCAAAAGCCGTTCATTATTAAATAAAATGTAATAAACAGATTCTAATGAATTAAACCGTCTCGCCGTTTGTACCCAAGTTGAAAGATAAAACTGATTTTTTTTTGAAACGATCGAAACCAGTGAAATAACACAATGTTTGTTCAACATGTTCAACATTTCTAAAAAAGATCCGGTTTTTTAAATTCACAATAAAAAATTGCCCTAGTACAGAAATGTTGCATAAATATTATTTGAGACGAATCACGTGCAACTCTTAAAAAGAGATATTTAAAAATGACTAATTTCTCATTCGCGTTTCTCTTATAGTTTATTAGAAAGAATTCGTACCAAATAGCTATTTCAATAAAAATGAGTGTTGTCAACATTATAAACATTAACGTTCTCAATAATCCTACTTTGTTCACAGCAGACTACCAGTTTGAAATTACCTTTGAGTGTATTTCCGAACTTGTTGACGGTATGTACTATCATTAATAAAGTTCATTTGATTTTAGTTAACTAAAAGTCATACGTGTAGAAATTCAGCAACGATCTCTTTAATAGTCTGTATAACTTACATTTTTTTGTTTGAAGAATATGTTTAAGCTTTTGCTCACGTATTGACGTTAGAGAAACGTAATTTATACGCGTTTTACACATAAGAATATTATTGATATTTTAATGCTTTAAAAATACTTGATATATCTTCTTTTTTTCCCTCTTTTTTTCTATTAGATTTGGAATGGAAAATAATTTACGTAGGATCCTCGGAAAGTAAAGAATATGATCAGGTTCTTGACAGCATTATGGTTGGACCTGTACCTCCTGGTGTGAATCAATTCATATTTCAGGTATTTAACATAAATTTTGTCAGTTTTTTTTTTCTTCTTCTTTGGCAGAAGGTTTTGATTGCCATGGCAACTTAACAATAAATTTACAGGCACCGGCACCTAACCCTGATCGTATACCCCCTAGCGATCTCTTGGATGTCACTGTAATCATTCTTACATGTTCTTACAGAGATCAAGAATTCGTTCGTGTAGGGTATTATGTTAATAATGAGTACATCGAAGAAGAATTGAGAGAGAATCCGCCAGATAAAGTTATATTCGATAAACTGTATCGAAACATTTTGGCGGATAAACCTAGGGTGACTAGGATGCCTATCAAATGGTATGTTTATTACTTTTATTTTGTAAGTCTTGTATTTAATAAGTAGTGATATGAATACCTTTTTGTTCTACTTAAGGGACTCGGAAGATGAAACTATTGGCATTAAAGAAGATGTAATGGGTGGGATACAAGAACATTCTTTACAAGCTGATTATTCGATATAAACCGGCGTATATTTTTATATAAATAAGATTATTTCTCATTATTATTATTGTATAAAATATTACTACGCATCTTCGATTATTAAAAAAGTACATTTTCGTTATTATAAGTTAATGATAACTTTATCGAAAATGACAGCCAACAAATCAACTTTTTGTTCAACTATCAGAAGAAATTTGTTAATGAAAAAGGCATGTTTCGTTATCAATAGTCTCATAAAAATTATTAATAAATTTTTTTGGTTCTTTGAACCAATATAGAAAGTAATTTCCCTGTAATCTTTTATTAACAATTGCGTGATGACAAACACAAATGAATACATGATTTAAGGAACATGTAATAGATCGTTATTGAAAAAAATCCGGAAAATATTCTTTTTCTTTAGATGTTTTGCACAAAGTATTACTTTATTAATGAAATAAATAAATTTTTTTTCACTAAAAAAAAGATTTCTATTACATGAAAGAATCAACTATTTGGGAATTTGCAAGAAAATTATTAAAGGAGGATTCAAGGTTATGAAAATACATCGATTTTGTAAGATTCTTATATAACTATAATGCATCTTTCAATCAAAAAAAGTATTTTTAATTAGAAAATAAGTATAAATTTCTAGCTTTGATAACCATATATATAAAAAAAATTAATTATAATTTTGCAAAAAAATTATTTAATACTTATTTCACCCCCCTGTATAATCGATATCATATAGTTATTAACCAACTTTCATTGGCTTTCAAAGGTTCTATTAACATCTAACCTTTGGTTTTTAGGAAATCTATTAATGATTTGTGAATGTAAAATTGCAGCTGTCTGCTGCATCAGAATCCATCATATTTTTTGGTATTGATTATTTTAGACTAATCATTATAAATTAACAATAATATATATTGAAAATATACTTTTTGTATATATAAATAAGACTCAAGTATCAATAGAAATCAGTAAATTATTTTTTCTTTTTCTAAATTTTTTCAACAAATATGATAAAATCAAAAAGAACTCATTTTTATGAAAATAATACAAAAGATTGCAATATTATTTTTAAAACTACAAATATAACAAAATCAAAGAAATCTGATAATAAAAGTTTTGCAAAAGATTATATTATTTCTAAAACTAGATATTTGGTTAAATGCAAATGTATTTTACATTGTTGTGATAGTAAATTAATTGGTTCTAAAACATTTAAGAAATACTAGCAAGAATTAGAAAGGTTTCGTGCTATTATTTCTGAATCTTAGCATTCTATCTAATCAAGAAGCATTAAAAGTAATAAGGCTAATATAAGATTATCATCAACTTTGAAAGAAAAAGAAAGAATTAAATTGGTTAACATTAGTTGTATAATAACAAATAAATGACCAATCATATCAAATCTAAGTTATCAGATTTGATATGATTGGTCCTCTATTTTTTTTTAGAATCAGGTGATCCTGATTGATGATAAATAATAGTGCAGATAAGGTTCCAATCAGGGTATTATAAAGATATAAATAGGGTTGTTCTTATTAATATCAATTTATTAACATTCAGCTTCTAATTAGATTATTCCTAAATCATCAATAGGAATATTCTTTTTTTTATTAATAATATGTAAAATAGAGAGTATCTTATTAGGGTATCATGCCACCTCTTGGAATGCAAGAATAATTAACCCATAGAATATCTCTAGTGGTTTTAACATTACATTTAAAGATGAGGCAACTATTTGTTTGCATTACCTTAGTCATTGCCATCTGTAGTTAAGATTCTTGCTAGTATTAACTTATGTTCAAAAGCACAGGTATTAGCTGACTAGATTCATATCTAGAGTTCCAAATCAGATCAGGTCAACCTGTGACCCAACCTGACCCGACCTGAAAATCCAGGTCAGGTAGATAAATTTTCAGGTCAACATCAGGTCGGTTCAAGCTTATGACCCGACCTGATAAAATTCAGGTCAACCAATCAAATTAAATGAAATAAAATATTTAAAAAAAATTTTTTTTGTCTATTTTTTTTTTAAAACATCTTTAATTTTATTTAATATACTTTCTTTTTATATTCTAATAAAGTTGTTTGTATAATTACTTTGTAATTTATTATAATCAAAAAGTTAAATTTTAAATTATAAACATTTTTGCAATTACATTGCTCAACAATTTAATTTTAATTTTTTTTTTTATCTGTTCAATTACTTCAAAGAGATATTTAAGTAATTTGGTCAAAGAAAATCGACTTTTATCGCATAAGTAAACTTGCTCAGCGTGTTTGAAAATATGTGTATATAAATTTTTTATTATAATTGGATTAATATTTATAAATTTATAAATGTTTTTTGTGATTATATTATCTCACAAAATATTTTTATTTTTTTTATTCGTTTAGTAACTTCAAACAGCAATTTAACATTTTGGTCAAAGGAAATTAACTTTGGTCGCATAAGTAAAGTTGATCAGCGGGTTCGATAATATGTGCATATAAAATATTATTATGATTGGATTAATGGTTGTAAAGTTATACATGTTTTCGTAATTATATTATCTCACGAATTTTTTTATTTTATTTTTTATCTGTACAGTGACTTCAAAGAGCAATTTAAGTATTTTAGTCAAAGGAAATCAACTTTGGTCACATAAGTAAAGTTATTTAACTGGTTCGAAAATATGTGTATATAAAATTTTATTATGATTGAATTAATATTTGTAAAGTTATGTACGTTTTTAGTATTTATATTATCTCACGAATTTTTTTATTTTTATTTTTTATTAATATAGTAACTTCAAAGAGAAATTTAAGTATTATGGTCAAAGGAAATCAACTTTGATCGCATAAGTAAAGTTATTCAGCGGATTCGAAAATATGTGTATATAAAATTTTATTATGATTGGATTAATGGTTGCAAAGTTATACACGTTTTTTGTAATTGTATTATCTCACGAATTTTTTTTATTTTTATTTTTTATTCGTACAGTAACTTTAAAGAGCAATTTAAGTATTTTGGTCAAAGGAAATCAACTTTGGTCGCGTATGTAAAGTTGTTCAGCGGGTTCGAAAATATGTGCATATAAATTTTTATTATAATTGGATTAATGGTTGTAAATATATACACGTTTTTCGTAATTGTATTATTTTATGAATTTTTTTATTTTTATTTTTTTTATTCATTTAGTGACTTCAAAGAGCAATTTAAGTATTTTGGTCAAAGGAAATCAACTTTGGTCGCGTACGTAAAGTTGTTCAGTGGATTTAAAAATATGTGTATATAAATTTTATTATGATTGGATTAAAGGTTGTAAAGTTATACACGTTTTTTGTAATTGTATTAGCAGTCATCAGATTTGCAGATTTATTGCAACTTGTAATTTTAAATTCTGCAGTTAAAATAATTATATTAGTATCTTTTTTTTTTT